GGATACAGTCTTAATCTTTACTTTCATACAAGTAAATGCATTTGTTTGTGAAGTATCCCAAAGGGATCAGATTTTATCCAGTTTTGGAAGTTGATCAGAGTAGGTCTGGTTAGTACTTAGATGGAAAACAGCTAGGAAAAACCAGGAGTTGTAGGCTAGGTTTCAGAGGAAGCAGAGCAAAGCAGTTTCATTTATATACCACTTCATACCATGCTATGCAGTATCTAAGCAGTTTACAACTGTAAGCTCATTGCCCCCCAACAGCTGGGTACTCTTTTTAGCGACCTCAGAAGGATGCAGGCCTGAATCAAGCCTGAGCTCTGGCTAGTATTGAACTCACAACCTTATGGTTTATGAGTGAGTGGCTGCAGTACAGGCATGGGCAAACCATTTCTGTATACTCCTTGCCCAAGAAAGCCCTGTGAAATTGATGGGTTGATGTAAATCAATATACATAATCCTAAAGATATTTGCTAGGGAATTAGTTCTATTGAATTAGGGAGTTTGCTAGGGAAATAGTTCACTGGATTTACTTTTGATCAGTCTGCATAGGCATGTACTGGTCAATGAGTCAGAGGATATTAATTAGATTATAATGCTAGCTGGATTAGATTTGTTAAATATCCAGCTTCTGAGATATATTTTCCCCCTTCCCCAGAACATGATTGTGCCTTAAGGCAGCATTACAGGTAACTGTCAGGCTGTCCCAGCAGCTTGGATATGCCAGAAGAATGTGACTCAATAGAAATGTACTCAGGTCCTCTGTGTTCTAAAATGCTACAAGTAAGATTTCCCTAGCTCTCCCAAAAGCATTTGTATGCAATCATCGTGAAGAACATATTTGACCACTGAGTTAGTATAGGTACAGTGGTGCAGGAAGGGGAAAGTGCACATTATGTAAAACAAAAAGGGACTGGAGGAACAGCATATTATTTGCAAAACTGCTTCAGACAGTTGGAAAGACTTGGAAGGAATGGTATAGCAATTGTCAGTTGAGTGGAAAACCTGCTTCCATATTCAGACTGCCATAGTCTCTTCTCTTTCCCTCATGACTTGGCTGATGTTCCCTACACCCAGTTTCCTATGAGATCCTGCAGGATCCATGTGTGGAGCACTTTAACCTCTTCTAGGCGGTAAGTGAAGAAAAATGATGTGCCAGGATCCCCTACCACCACCATCCTAGTGTTCATCTTTTCAGGGTGAATGGGACAAGGGCCCCAGCTCTTGTTGTTGTTGTTGGTTGCATGATGGAGCAATAAAAGACATTTAATTGGATGCATGTTTCTGTATACATATTTTATAACTGAAGGTAAGCTAAGACGTGGTCAATTTGAGTGCTTGCTCTTTCTTTTAGGATATGAAAGTGAACACTGCTCAGTTCATGGCACTGTATGCTTGGTATTCCTGGCCTAATGTGATTCTCTGTTTTTTCGGAGGCTTTCTGATAGACAGAGTATTTGGAATAAGGTAAGGTAACTGTTATCCATATATATAGAAAATATTAATGGTTGAACAATTGTGAGATATGCTTTATGGGCCTTGTCAATAGGACTAGTGAATATGTTAATATTGCCCCAATTGTTTCACTATCTTTTCAAAATATTTTTTAACGAGTGGAGCCCTGTTCTGTTCAAGTTGCTGGCTATTCCATCTTTTCTTTGCCGCCTCCAGATTTCTATGTTTAACCTGCCAACAGTCAGATAGCATTACTTACCCATTGCCTTGTCTTTTCGTTGGACTGGAATTATTGAAGTACTGTCAGATGGGTGTTCAATGCCTGCTGCATTAAAACCTTGAAATTATCCATTACGTTTTGTGAGAACCTTTACTTTTGTCCTTCAGGGTATTTCACAATAGCTTCTTAACGGTAGGCCAGGAAATGATCCATACAGGCAGTGAGATACTTTTCTCTAGCCTTTATATAACTTTTAGAAATCTCTCTCTGTCTCCCTCCTTTTCTAGCCAATCCATTCTATTCTGTATTCTTCTATCAATTGGTTTTCTGTTTTTCCTCCCCCAAGGCAGCATTGCATTTCCACTGCATGTTCAGTCATAATTGTCAGTGATAGCTCTTAGCTCTTTAGAGTTTTTTAAAAGTGTTTCTGTGGGTTCTACACCCATCCCCAGGTCTCCTACCTTATTTCTCCACCTTGGTGCTGTTGTTTGATTGTAGAAATAGTGACACAGAACAGTATCAGAAACAGAACATGTGATTTTTGCAGTACAATATGTTGAGCTCTGAAGGAGAATTTAGTACAGGTGAAGTGCAATAAGGGAATACTTTCATGTTGTCACTTCTTTATTACAATGACTTAAATGGTTTAAAAATTCTTTACAGGTGGGGCACAATAATATTCAGCTGTTTTGTCTGTATTGGACAGGTAAGTGGAATAGATAACATACAGTTGTTAAATATGGACCAATAGATGTTAGATAGATTCTCCCAATGATCTGTGGATCACTAGATTACTCTGTTCTAAAATTTAAAAAGTGCTGAGTGAAAATACTTATGCATATTCTTCTTTTTAGGTAGTTTTTGCTGTGGGAGCGATAAGCAATGCTTTTTGGCTGATGGAAGCTGGCAGATTTGTATTTGGGTAAGTACTTATATTATGATCACTTGCTACCTTCTCTCAGTGTTAAAAATACCCACAGACAATTTATCAAAAAATTTATGTTTAAAAAATTTCTGTGAAGCATTGCAGTTCTTTCGTCTTAAGTCAGAAGCATTGAATCATTTCCCTTTTGATCCTGGACACCCTTAAAGTGAAACTTGCATACTAACATGAATGCATAACTCTAAATCACAAAATAGTTGTGCTGTGCATGTTGTGTCAAACATTTATTCTTATACTCTCTTGCCTCATTTAGGATTGGTGGAGAGTCCTTAGCAGTAGCTCAGAATACCTATGCTGTCAGTTGGTTTAAAGGAAAAGAATTAAACCTTGTGTTTGGACTACAGCTCAGCATGGCTAGAATTGTAAGTCTAAAACCCCTTTTTTCCCCCTGTTATTGTCATTAGTACCACAAATGCCCCCTACCATTTATCCCTCCCTGTGTCTATTGGAGTGAAAAGAATACTTTCAATTAAGGACATAGATTTTAAAAAAAGTTTTAGATTAGTTCCCAGAATTCTAGAGTAAAGATGCTAAATGTTAACTACTTAAAATTCATAGTCTCTCACAATGACCACTGGTCAGTCTGTCTTCACAGTGGCCAAATTTAAAATTGGAAATAAATGCCAAACAACAACCCTCAAATTGCAGCCAAAAGATTATATGGTTTACTTTGAATAAGAAGCATATCTTTGAGTCTGGTTGCTGGTGAGTGCTGTTCTGTAATGGCTTAGGAGCAGACCCTATTAAGAATGTTGTCAGAATGACAATTCAGACTGAAAATCCTTCTAGTTCAGCACCATGGCCAGTCAGATTCTCTAGAAAATTCTTCAAAGGGCAACCTTCTTTATTGGGTGTTTAAGAGTACAACTCAGTGGTCAGGAATGGCAGGAGTTATTGTTTGGTTGCAGATGGCTGCCTAGAGCATGTTGTTGTTAACTGTTCCCTGTTGAGTGTCTGTAGAATCTGATTATCTGAGTAATATCTCTAGAGGGACACTATTTTTTCCTAATATTAACAACAACCACAACATTTATTTGTATCCCGCCTCTCTGTGTAACACAACTGGGGCGGCTTACAATTAAACAGTCATAGTGTAAAACATACTTTAAAATAACAAACAAGTAACAAATAAATTAAAATAGCTGTGGGAGAAGTCAGGAGTGTAACAAGCACAACTTTTTTGGTGGCCAGTTGTCTACTCAGAAAAGGCCTGCTGGAAGAGATCTGTCTTAACAGCTTTTTTAGCTGTTTTAAGTTGTAATGTGATGGATCTCATCTGGCAGGCCATTCCATAATCTGGGAGCGGTAGCCGAAAAGGTCCCCTGCACAGTTCCAGACAATCTAGTTTTTATAGGTTGCAACAGGTTCCTCCCAGAGGACCTGAGTGCATGGGGTAGATTATACGGAAGGAGGCAGTCCTGAAGATAGGGCTTTAAAGGTGATGACCAATAACTTGTACTGCTCCCGGAAACTGATAGGCAGCCAGTGGAGTGATGTTAAGATTGGTGTTATATGGTCTCTTTTAGTTTTATCTGAGACCAGCCTGGCTGCCATGTTCTGTACCAATTGAAGTTTCCGAACTAGGTACATAGGTACCGTAGTCCCATGTAGAGTGCATTACATAAATTGAGACGAGAGGCTACCAGCACATGTATCATGGTTTCAAGGTCCCTAACTTCCAGGAAAGGGGACAGCTGGCATATCATCTGAAGCTGATAACAGGCACTCCTGACCATTGCATTCACCTGATTTGTCATCTGAAGTGACGGATCTAGGAGCACCCCTAGACTGCGAACACAGTCCTTTGAGGAGAGTATGATCCCATCTAGGTATTGGGATTGTATCCCAATACCTGGGTTCGGGGCTGCTACTGTTAGTACCTCAGTTTTGTCTGGATTCAGTTTCACTATGTTCTTCCTTATCCAGTCCATTACTGCTTTAAGACATTCATTGAGGGGGGAGATGCCATCTGAAGTCAAAGCTGTAGATGGAGACATGGAGAAATATATCTGAGTGTCATAAGCATACTGATAACACCCTGCCCTATGCTACAACCAATAGCTACAACAGCTCATCAACTTGCATGTATTTTCTTTGGTGTGTCTGTATTCTTTGTAGCATAGTTGTGCTGCATTAAAAATGAGAATATAATTAGGAAAAAGCCAAACCTTGAGTAAAATGTGCCTCAGTTAAATATAGTTTGTTAAGGCAGATCTCCAAATGCAAAATAAAGGATACAGGGCATTTGCTGCTAATAGAGAAAGATGTTAGAGCCACCACCACACCAACATAATTTATTTATATATTTTGGATTCTTGATTGTAGACAGTTGTTCAACCTGGATATCTTTGAAGTCTTGAGTTCTCTCTCTCTCTAAACTGAGCCAGAGTGGTGTAGTGGTTTGAGCATTGGACTGTGACTTTTGAGTTCACGGTTCAAATCCTGTCTTGGCCATGTAAACCCACTGGGTAATCTTGACAGGTCACACACTCTCAGCCTAAGAGGATGGCAATGGCAAACCCCCTCTGAAGAAACTTGCCAAGAAAACCTTGTGTTTGAAACAACTTGAAGGCACATAATAGCAACAACAGCAGTAAACTGAATATTCATATGTAAATTTTTATGTCCTGTTCTTACTTATTCTGTTGAATATATTATTACAATTCATCTTTCTTCCTAGGGGAGCACTGTGAATATGAATATTATGGGATGGGTGTACTCCAGAGTTCAAGATCTGCTAGGTTCTACAGGTCACACCACTCTTGGTATAGCGCTTTTCATAGGTTAGTAAATTATTCCATTATTTGGTTTTAACATTTTGGGACTTGCCCCAGTATGGATTAATTGGAAGGTACTGGTTACAGTTTAGTTTATAAACTGTTGTAATCTCACGATGCTTGATACAGTGTGTGAAAGCAGAGTTGCAAAGCAAAGAAAGCAAACTTGATGGTTCAGGATGATGTCCAAAATTTAAGTCTGTATCTTGAAACGGAATTAATTATTTTGCTTCCCCACAATGGTACTTTCGATTGTTCTAGTGGAGGAGGGGGAAATTAGAATCACTTTCACTTACATATGTAAGAGATTGCATTATCATGTTCTGCAGCAATGCACAATCTGGGTGTCTGATCCCATTAGAACAAAGCAGCTATAGTCCTGAAGCATAGTCCTACCATAGATAATTCTGATACTCATTGTGACCATTTTTAGAGCTATTGGGAATGAATTGATAAACATTAAACACATAATCTGGAAAAAGAAGTGATGCTGCGGCTTAAACTTGAATATTGAACTGAGAATCTATCAGATTCTGAACCAAGCATTTATTTAACAGATCATTGTATCTCACAGCTTTGCATATATTATTTAAGCCATAGGTGGGGAATTTGGCCTTCCATAGATTTGGGTTGTATATCCCATAATCCATGGGTGTACTGGCTAGGGTCTTTGGGACTCAAAATCTAGAATATCTCCCCACTTTGTTTTAGGTCATCTCTTCTCAGCCAAGTCCTTCTGTGTTTTGCAGTTAACTCATACCATTCTTGAACAGCATTACTGATGGCCTGGAACAGGGGTAGGCAACCTTTCCCCTTTAAGGGCCGAGGGACCTCAGCTCCCAGAATCTCAGGAGCTATTGACCAACGTGGGACTATTGGCCAACATGGCTGAGGCTTCTGGGAGCTGGTGTCCCTTGGCTCTTAAAGGGGAAAGGTTGCCTACCCCTGAGGATTGTAGGCCAAAACATCTGGAGGAATCAGTTTGTAGAAAATTGCATTTGGCTTTCTCTAGTTTCATATCTAATAACACACCACTGCTGTCAGTTTGGAACATTTATTAAATGACAGCAAACAAAAGCCTGGATTGCCCATTATCATGCAACCTTGAAATTGACAAAAGTTATCTAAATTATGTTTGGTTTGGATTTATTCTGAGCTGTCTCTGTTCTCCTATTACAACTGCTATGCAGTGCATTGTTAATGGGATTCAAAAGGTGGTGACTTCTGTCTTTAGCCCTGTTGTTCTACGGAAAAACTAATTCACACAAACCTGAATATTAGTGACAAATCAGTTATCTGTGAGCAGACTATATTTTCTTTTGGATGAAAGATAGTTATATAGACTTAGTAAATATCATGTCTTGTGTGGTGATAATTCATTCTGTTTGACACTAGATGCTTCACACATTAAGTCATCACTTCTGTGATTAGGTAGTAAGTTGCCATTTTGGTATAAATTTTTTGCTGATACACAGTATCTTTACTCTTAATTGCAGGTGGTGTGACATGTATCTTTTCATTAGTCTGTGCTCTCATCCTTGCCTATCTGGATAAAAGAGCTGAGAAAATTCTTTGCAAAGAGCAAGGGAAGACTGGTGAGTGAGTGTTGGTGTATAGTAATAAATCTTTGTTTGCTAGAGAGTGAACAGCCAAAAATATTGAACCTGTTCCTCTTTTCATTGTCTTCATTTGGCATCATTTGTGAAGGCATCACTTACACAGCAGCGAACTTCTATTTATTTTGAAATGACCTAATTTTGTATCTCTTGATGATGCTGTTTGCTCTTAGGTTGGGAAATTGAAGACCCTACTTTACTTCTATAAGACACAGCTATACTGTGTCAGTAGCAGCAGGCAGGCAGGCAGGCAGGCAGGCAGAACTTGTTTATCTTATGTAGATGGATCAGTAGTTAGTATGTGTATTCTGTTGGGGAGCATTTTTTTCCAATTATTGAAGGCCAAAATGAGTATTGATGTTGGGAATACCAAAGTCTGTCCAGCCTGCCAGGCTGCTAACCCCACTTTCCTTTAAGTTTGTGAGGATTTTGTACTGAAGGTACAATTGCAAAAGCCATGGAAAGTCAGGATGACAAGAAACTCTAGGCTTAAGCTAGTATTTTAATCATGGGTCAAATGCATTTCTTGAAAACAGAAGGCAGGGATTTTCCTGGCTCAGCTAAGCATTGTGATTGAGTCAAATGGGAAGGTAGAATATAAATATAGAGTGACATCAGTATTTACCAATGCCAGCTGAAGTGAGTGGCTCACTTTTTAAAAAAGCTTGCCAAACCCATCTGTAAACCTAGCCATCTGATTCTGTTCTTTGTAGTAGTGACTCCATTTATAGTTCAGCATAAATTAGGGTGGCACACTCTGAGATCAGGAGTGCTGTACCATGGGCCCTTCCCATATGCAGGGGATCCGTTTCGGATCCCCCCTGTGTAAAGGAAAAAACCACGTATGTTCAAGTCCTGTTTAAAACAATGGGCATGCACTCCTGCTTGTGCTGTGGCATGTGCGCCATGGGTGCATGCGCCCATTGTTTTAAACGGGGCTTGACTTCCGCGTAAAGTCAAAGCTGTATATGGCATGCCAGTGTATGGCATGGGCGTGATGTATTTAGTATCTGATTTTCAGCTCATTTGGAGTTGTGGCTGCTATTTTGGGTGACTAAAGGTGATACTACCTTACATAGTCTATAAGTCTAAAAATTTATACCCAAAAATTGACCCCCCAAATCCCTTATTCAAATCAAATCAAATTTTATTGCTTTTGACCAAAGGTCATTGCACGGTACAACGATACAACAATAGATATAAAATATATCTATAATATAAGCATCTCATATCTAATACAAAATTTCTAAACCTGATATTTAAAATATTAATTGTTATTATACCTAGTAAGAGTTTATCAGATATAGTCATCACCTTTGCAGCTTATAGCTATCTCTGTTATATACTTTTTCCTGATTTTTTTTGCTGCGAGGGCAAACAAAGCTACTTTCCAGGTTACATATTTGTTCAGGTCCAGTAGAAGGTAAAAAACCACATCCTGTGAGTTCTTATTTACGAGTCAGCATGATAATGTGATAGCAGCTCTTTCAAATTTCCTCATGCGGTGGAAGATAGTTTCTTTTTCTCTTGCTGCAAGCAGGAAGAGTCCTGAGTGATTAATTGCTTTTAAATAAGCAGAGACCTGAGCTGAAACCAAAGTTGAAACAAACAACCTCAATTGGACTCTCTTGCTGTACCTACACATACACACACTGAAGGAGCCTCCCAAGTTTTATTCTTGACTTATTCAGGGGTCATGGCAAAAGCCATATTTTTGGCCCCAAAGCCTGCCCTCGACTTATACATGAGGTTGACTTATAGTCGAATATATATGGTACATCATTTCTAACCACTTTTTGGACTACTACTTTGGTTAGGGATTGCTGTTTTGGATGGGATCCCTGAAGCAGCATACTTGACATGCTGCAAAGCCTTTAAAAAGATTATTTTGTCCCCCAAGACAATTTTTTTCAGCTGCAATTTTTGCATGGTGTCAGTGGGGTCCAAGTGGCTACACTGGACTCCTCTTGGCTACGTATCTGGCACAGTTCTTAGCTTGGGCTAAATCTATTTTTGTCCTATTTAGAGTAGATCAATTGAAATGAATGGGGTTTGTTAGGGGCAACTAACATCCCACTGATTAAAGTGTTGTAAATGAAGGATTAATGTTTCAGATTTATAAAAACAGTGGGGTGACTTTGCTTCTGAATCTTTTAAAAATGTAGTTTCATACTTCTGATACTGATTTTCTGTTTTCTCAAGGTGAAGTGATTAAATTAACTGATGTGAAAGACTTCTCATTATCCTTATGGCTTATATTTATTATCTGCGTTTGTTATTATGTGGCCGTCTTCCCATTCATTGGACTTGGAAAGTAAGTGCATGTTTAAGATAACATTATTGTCATTGTTAAAGGAAGTAAGATGGACTCAATCTTTTTAGAACTGATCTGCACTTTCCATTGTTTTAATATAGAGCTCTTTTTTACACAAATATTACATGTATTAATACCATCTTCATGTAGGAAACACCGTATATATCATATGTGTGTTTTGCTATGTCTATATTTAATGGCTTGGCCTCATATTGGCCTAAATACCCTAAAGCAGGGGTAGGCAACCCAAGGCCCGGGGGGCCCCCCGGATGCGCCCCCCCGAGGCCTTTGGACCAGCCCCAGGCCGGTTCTGTCGCCGCCGCCGCCGCTGCCCTCCATGATGATATTGATTATTGTTGTTATTACTTGTTCTTGGGGTTTTCTTGGCAAAATCTCCACAGGGGTTTTGCCATGGCTTTTCTGGGGCTTAGAGAGTGTGCATGCATATTTTTATTTTTATTATTTATTTATTTATTTATTTTTGGTGCTTTGGCCCCCCAGTTGTCTGAGGGACAGCAACTCGGCCCCCGGCTCATAAAGGTTGCCTACTCCTGTCCTAAAGGAACCAGATCCCATCTGATCTCGGAAGCTAAGTAGGATCAGCTCTAGTTAGTACTTAGATGGGAGACTACCAACCAGTACCAGGTGCTGTAGGTTATATTTCAGAGGAAGGAACTGACTAATTCACCTGAGTATACATACCCTGCCTAAGAAAACCCAGTTGACTGATGATATGAAATCTCTTT